CTATTAGGTTGGAGGTCTTTGCTATTAAGTTGGAGGCCATTGCTATTAGGTTGGAGGCCATCGCTAGTAGCGTCTCTCTCCCTCTCTCTCTCTCTCTCGCTTCTGGTTTTGAGTGGCAAACTGCAAGTGCCGCGGCTCGGTCGGCTGTAATAACCTCATCCCCCAGGAGAACATGTCAGACTTTCGGCATGATTGGCCCTTTGCCCGCTCAATTTGCCAATCCACCACAGGCATCTGATCGAATAACGCTTGCCTTTCAAGACTGTTCATTCCGTTCGGCCAACGTGTCCACGTCTTTCTGGCTCAGTGAGATTCCAAGGGCTTGACTTCAGACCGACTACACGTTGCAATCAAAGCCCCAGCCTCAAGAGGGTCAGCACGAGACCAACAAAACAACCAAAGTTGGGCATGGTTGGCGATGTTTCTTGATAAACATCTGGAATCTGCTCGCTCTTCGATGGGTGGTTGCCTCTATGCATGCACCTGCATGTTCAGGAATACCAAAGTGCAACATGCTACTCCTCCCCAGGCGACTGACACTTTGCAAGGCTGCTAATTGGGCCAAAATCTTCAGCCAAGGCCTTGGAGATGCACCAAACAGGTAGCTCGAATTCCGTGAAGAGACATCCAAGTTTGGTCCCCTAGCTTGTGAAATCTTCTGAAACCAAAACTCTACAATGATGGTTCTTGATGGTTCAAACTGGATGGTTTATGTCTTGCCGCTCTGAAGATGCTTAGGCCTTAGGCAAAGCAGATTTTTTCCGCTACGATGTCTACGACTGGGCCTTCCGGCGAGACCATCCTCAAGATGGGGGTCAACACTGACCGCTTGCGTCCTGGGCGATGATGATTCGGCGTCCCCATGTGATCAGTCCGGTCTCCGCATCGGTAGCGATGCCCTTTGCTCCTAGTAGCGTCCTTGCTCCTAGTAGTAAGGCCAGGAGCCCCTAGTAGCTTCTTGTTACTAGTAGCGATGCCAGGAGCCCCTAGTAGCGAACATTGCTCCTAGTAGTACGGCCAGGAGCCCCTAATAGCATCCTTGCTCCGCTCGTAGCGATGCCAGGAGCCCCTAGAAAGGTCATGGCATCTCCCGTTTGGAAAATATAGATCGTTTTTCCACCTCGATTTTAGGGAAACCAATTCCCCGAAAAGGTCGGTTAGCCACTCACTGGGTACAGTATAGGAAAAGTCTCCGCTCCCACGACGTCCCACACCTGGTGCCACTTGCTCCAGCTGGTCTCGCATGTTGTTCATCCTGGCGCAATTGGGTTTTGCACGTAGCTGAACTGAACAGGCCAATGTGGATTGAAAACAGCACTGCTCTTCATGGGATAGGATGAGGTAACATCGGAATCCCATAGCATAACTTGCAAGGCTGTTCAACAAGTCTGAATTCCAGAGTCTACAGTACAGTAGTCAGTCTACAGTACGGAAGTTCTGAAAAGCCACGTCCGTCAATATTACATGCAACTCGTTTGCGCGTGTCCAGAAAGGTTGAATAATTACTCATCAATACAAAGTATCCTTCAGCATCCACAGAGGAAACATGAAATAGAACATGTATCACCAAGTAAGATCTAAAGTGAATACAAGCCAGGTTTGCAATGCTTCCGGTCCACCACGCATCAAGACTCCGATCCACACGATGGGCCGAAGAATCTGCGACAGAGTCATCGAAGCTTTGGCTTCACTATGCTTCACTAGAGGCCCTGGCACGAGGAGCTGCAGCTTTGAGGACCATGTCCATGGCCTGCTCAATCTCTTCCGGTTTCACATGCAATATATATATATATATATTGGCAATAATATGCAATAAATCGATATCCCTCTTGGACTCTTGGCACATCGCGTCTTCACATCTTCTTCACCGCCAAAGTACCATGCTGAGTAGGCTCCCGACAAGAAACTCCATGATCGGCCGCGTGATTCCATTTGCATGGAGCTGAGGCGCCTGGAATCGCCAAGCTCGATTGAGATTCGGCCACAAACATGCATTCTTTAGCCTATAGCCTTCCTGAGCTCCTGACCTGGTTTTCCCGCCCACCTCTCACAGAAAGCATACGGCTGTCTTCCAGTTTCTTTTTTAGAGGGCTGCCTCCGAAAATGTTAAGGTTGATGGTGCCCATGGAGAGAGGCTCCCCAAGGCCTGTGGTTCAGGATGCAAACAGCGTGAAAAAAGTAAGTTTGAACAAGTCATGCGAAGTAAAGAGGCCCAAGATCACAAAACATGAAACATGAGAAACCGAGTGCGATGAAGACCACACATAAACCAATTATATATATATATATAAACCAATTGTATAAACCACGTAACCACATGTAAACAAGTCAAATGCAACGGGTAATTCGACTATCAAACACGTGTTGCATGGTGAGATGAGGCACCGCACCAAAAAGGGAAGGCCTCGAACTCGAACGTCCTGACTCGCAAGGGCAAAAGCGCTTGTCCAACCAACAACAAGCAAGTGTCCCTGAAAACAACCCCAAACAACGTCCCTGACTCAGCACCTTTGCCGTCCTCGAAAGGTAAAGAACCGCTTTTGAGGGCCTTAGCTGCAAACATCCAGTTGGTTTCATCCACATGTACTAATTGTATAGAATAAAGAAACGTCGCCGCTGTGACATATCTACCTTCGGTAGCAAATCCTAGGGCCTCCGGGCTCATGGATTGAACTCCTTGCAAAAGATTCTTCCCCACAAAGACCTGCACGAAACCGGTCCATCGCGACCGCAGCGGTGGGTGCTCTGCACCTTGGAGAGGCGATCCGTCCAGGCTTTGAAGATGCCCGGGCTCAGCAGCGCAAAGGCCATGCGGCCCAGCTCGTAGCCGATCAGTGCCTCGGCCCCAACGCCCAGGGGCGCATTTTGTTCAATTCACTTCGACTGTGCCTCTCAAAGATTGGATGTGAGAGAATGCAGTCGCATATCATAAAATCGATCAAGGTGCTTAGGAACAATGAAAAGTGGCCACATTTGGGGGTGGTGACTTGGGGAACTTGAGTAACCTTTAAGATGTTGATCATTGATGAATAATCATAAATACATCACAGCAACTTTCAATTTGATAGCACTAAGCAAACAATATAGTACAGAAGGACAAGTTGCCTTGACCTGCTTCTCAGGAAAGCTATTCAGCAGCCTGCGCCAGGTCGTATCGAGAGAGCAAATGGACACCCCCGCAGCAAAAGGAGAACGAAGCCTGGCTTGCAGAACAAGCAAGGAGCGTTCATGTCCAAACACAGACCTCAGTCAGCATCAGGACACAGACCAAGTTAACATTTTTGCGTACTTACATCACAGTCAACCCTCTTTGGTAGCTGCTCTTCTCTCAAAAGGTCCTCGCCCCTCGCTCTCCTTTTTCTCAGGTCCCATTTGCTCGGCCGTGCGTTCTGTCGTTCAGCGGCTGTGCGTTGGTACACTCAGGTCTCGCTTGAGCCTTCACCTGTGCACTCTCCCTTCAAGGAATTATGTGCGACAGCTTCACCTCCGAACCTGAAACAACAGGTGAAGGGCATCCTGTGATGCCGAAACCCCACAAGCAGGACACCCCACGGGGGGGGGGGGGGGGGGTGGGGGGGTGGGACAGAGACTCCACTGGCTCTTGGTGTGATGGGATGATGTCTGAGCACCCAAGCCCACGCTTCCACGAGGAAACTATACCTGTTGCACCGGCCAGTCCCCTAAAGAACACGGTCTTCCACATCGTTCCGGAACTCCACTTATGACACGGGTGGCAGTAGATAGCAACGATAGCAACATCAACATTAGGAGGGGCTCGCATCCCCGCTCAGACAGAAGATCAACTGTCCGTTTTGGTTCTTGAGCCAAAATGTTGAAAGTGGTATAATGTGATGATGTCTGCGCACTTAAGCCTGTCCTCACACCTATAAAAGGTTAGGAGGCCAAACGCCAAGCAGTTGCGAAAGCACCCCCGATTACCAGCCATGCTTCCTGCATGGAGCATCAACAAACGCAACAAACATTTGGACCAATTGTATCCAGTTGCGGCGAAAGCCGCACCGAGGTCTGAACCACACCGGCATGGTGCGACCTGAGAATGTGAGCTTTCAAGTCACATGAAAATCTCATATACAAAATTGCTTTACTTCGAGTGATCCCCGCGATGACATTTCAATCATTTGACTTCTTGCCATTGTGAGGAGCACGTTGCCATGGAAGTGGGTTTTGTGGTGTTGGGTTTTGCTAATGCGGGCTTGGGCCGGGATTGCTATTTTGGTGTTAGGGAAAGTTCGGGGTGTCGCCTGGGTCTCCAGTTGGCATCCTGTGACCACCTGCCACGCAAAATGCCACACACACAGGTAGTTGTATTGTGGTCGTTGTGTGTTCGTGGTTGTGTTCGAGTGTTGCGGTTGTGTGTTTGTGGTTGTGCTTGTGGTTTCTGTGTTTGTGGTTGCGTGTTGTGGTTGTGTGTTGCGGTTGTGTGTTTGTGGTAGTGGTAGTGGCTGTGTGTTTGTGATTGTGATTGTGTGTTTGTGACTGTGCTTGTGGTTTGTGATTGTGATTGTGTGTTTGTGGTTGTGTTGATGATTGTGTTTGTGGTTGTGTGCGATTGCGTTCGTGGCTTGTCTGTTTGTGCCTGTGTATTGTGGCTTTGCTTTTTTGTTGGCTGCGTATTGTGTATTGTGTGTTTCTGGATGGGTTGTGTGGTTGTGTGTTGTGTGTTGAGGTCCCGCAGTGCCCACTGTGATCTGGCGCTTGCGGTTGAGGTCCGGCGATGCCCACTGCGATCTGGCGCTTGCAGCTGCGGTCCGGGAGCGTGCAGTTAAGGTATAGCCCATTGCGATCTGGAGCTGGCATGGAGGAGAAGAGCAGAAGAGGAGAGGAGGAGGAGGAAGGAGAAGAGCTCTGATAAAATCCAACAACCCTCACCTGGCAGGTGGGGAAAAACACGTTCATGCATTTTCTCTGTCGCACATGTCCAGTCAAAGAAACTGATCAAATAGTTCTGTATTCATGTTTGCATGTCAGATCCGGTCAGAAAAAATGATAAACGAAATTGATCCTTCACAAGCGAAATGCACGTGAGACCCTCAGCAAGGATTTGGCTACCTCATCTCATACAAACTTCAAAACTCCTAGCTGGATTGTTGCACATCTTTTGGGGTTGATGCTGTAGTACCATCTAATATCAACAATATTATCTAAAGTTCTCTTATCGGTTCGTCGATCAGAGTTGCGAACCATGCACCATAGGCGATGCTTTGTAGGGCGGCCAACCCTGGGTGGTCAGAAACAGCCACACACCGGCAGGTCTTGACACAACATTATGAAAACGTAATGGTGAACTTTGATTTGACGTTAATACATACATATATATTATATATATATCATATTATGTGTGAGATGAATTCTTGCGATGACATTCCCTATTTCTGCCTCATCAATCCAAAGTTCTGGACAACCTGCAGGTAGATCTAAGGGTTCTTCCTGCCACAAGCCTTCCAGCAAATTCAAGGACATACTTCTGGCAGCAAGTTGAAACCAAAGCAGTTGCATGCTAGGACCAACATCGCGGCAGAGTGTGTATGCCTGAGAATCGATGGTGGTCCTTAAATCACTGAACATTCCCAAATGCAGAAGAACGAGTAGTGAGTAGTGTCACTAACATCGCTAGCACGTCAATAGGCACCCTGCGGGTAAAGCAAAGCCAAGCACCTGACAAACCTTGGAAAGCAAAGAGAAAAAAAAAACACATTGAAACGGTCTACCACGTGGTGAAGAACTGATTGAACACGTTTAAAACACGTTGAAACGTGGTGAACCAACCACATGTCTGCAATCAAACATGTTGATTTTCGCCTCATGAAGTAGGTCCCGAAAAGCACGATGTTGTGGTGCCCTCTCAAAGTCATCGACCAGAACGACCTACGTCGACTTTGATCGGCAATGCGGGCAGATTCTGCAAGATGTTGAATCATGTATTCTAGCATTCTGATACTCGCGAAGCTGAGTACCACAAGCCATGTTGGCTTTCCAGGCTTCCCAGCTCGTCCATTTGCACTCATCAGTTCCCGTCGGACCGCCGCCAAGTTGCTCCTCAGCAAGGTTGAACTCGAAAACGTCCTGCCCAACACGCCCGGATTGATGTCCGGCAAAAGCTGAGCCATCAGCGTCAATCCGGGGATTTCAGGCCTCGCACAACGCATCGAAAGAGCGGCGCCGTCCCTTTTGCAAGTTTTTTTGCCGGAGACCGTCGAGTGAGGCCCAAACAGTCGTGTCAAAGGTTCTGCCAGGTGCCCAGAAAATTTATGCAACCAATGAGGCAACTCCTGCTGTTCCAAGCGTGAAATGTCTTTCTATATACAGTATACAGTAATTACTTCTTCTGTTCCTATCTCTGTGGAGCACATGCAAATGGACTGGAGTTGGACTATGACTAACATGGACAAAGCACGGATCATGTGCGTACGAATGTGAAAAGAGTGAGAAACAGGAGCGACAAAGTTGCTCTTCATTGAATTTCACTGCGTCACTTCTTGGTTGGACTAGACTAGACTAGTTCCTGTTTTGATAGATGACTTTCTTGTGATCTGGGCATGTTCGACAAAACAGAATCGGAGGCTCGCATGCACAGGCTTCCGAGACATGATGATGTATGTAAAATTTGTATATTATATAGTATATATATATAGTTATATAAGATCTATATATATATTGGTTGCCTGATGCAAGACTCGAGTAAGGCCAGTTGTGGTTCCACATGGTTCCAAGATTCTCGAATCCCGTTCTCGTCTCCATGCTGTCCTTGTCAAAGGCTTTCAGTGCACTCTCCTGAAGCACTTCCTCTGGGGTGCCCTCCAGCACATGGCCTTGGACGAAGAAGACAGTAGTGATCAGTAGTGCATTCATCCGCTAGTAGGTTGGAGGTCATCGCTAGTAAGTTGGAGGCCATCGCTAGTAGGTTGGAGGCCATCGCTAGTAGGTTGGAGGCCATCGCTATTGGGCCATCGAAGTAGTGCATTCCTCCGCTTCAGCTCAATTGTCACCCCAGCTGCGGCTGCACACAGCAGCTGTCCACTGAGGGCCCTTCCCCGACTGAAGCCCCACTCGTGGTTAGAGGAGTCCTCACGGTGTGTCACAGAGTTCGAAACGCCTTTAAAGGTGTTTGGGCACTTGGGCTTAGCGAGGACTCTCCTTGTGCCCAAAATCAACGCTGGCCTTGCAGCAGTTGGTACCGCAGAATGTGCAAGCCACCATGAGGAATCTTCATGATTCATGAATTGTCCACAATCATCTTGGGTCAGATTTTCGCACGCGTCTTCAGTGCTCCAGCCTGGATGGACTGTGCCTGGTCTTCTGTCTGTACTTGAAGCAATCAAGACTGTACATGTTCTTTGGCCCAGTCAATGCATGACGAGCCAACAATTTACCAAGAGCTGCTCGACTGCAGATGGTGCGCAGCATTTCTTGGAAGTTCGATGAGTTTGCAAGTGCCCATTTTTTGGCGAGATCGATGTACGCCTTCTGGACGATCGATGCTCGTTAGTGAGCGTCGTAAGACGTGGGCAGCTGGAAAGAGTTGCAAAGCATGCAAACGATATGGCTACCGTAGCCATATATGCAACAATTTACAACCCAAGATTGTCCAAGGATTTTTTTTGACATTACACGCATTATAAACTGAGACTCAAATCAACTAAATGCCAAAGGAATTGCGACCGATTTGTGTCCACCAAGTTCCACTCTAGATTTCACATGATTTCACTACAGCAACACATTATGCTGGTTCTTTTCAGTAAATGCAGCTATCAATCTTCTATGTTCGTCCGAACGGTCCAAGGACCAATGATGCCAGCCCAAGCATCAAGAAACTCAACAAAGTCTTCTCACAACCAATCAATGTTCATGGCCTCGCATGGCCTTTCACATGCCCTACGGTCCTTCCGTGTCCTTCCAGCTGCTTATCAAGAGAGGCAAGCAAACAGGTGTGCGAGCTCCGATAAACACAGCAAAAAACACAGGAGCGTCTGTCAAAACGTTACTGTCAAGTAGAGGACATGATTCAGCAGGTCTTAGTCTTAGCCAAATTCCTGAAATTCACGGCTGTTCTTTACTAAATTAGTCATCGCACGTTTTGGCGGCTGCTCGACAGGAAAACAATTCCTGGTTGGTGGTCGCACCCACCCGAAAGGTATTTAAACATGTGTCGCGATTGATCATCCTCGGTATAAGATTGAAATTGGACACTTGAGGCCACCCAACCAGATGTGCCTTGGCAAGGCGAGACCTTCAGTGGTGCCAACAAGAGGACAGTGAGTTGTCTTCGGTTGATCCAAATTCTTGCTCAGCTTTTTGACAACAACCCGAAAGGATCCAAAAGGGAACCATTCCAAGAATCTTCAAGCCAGCTCAAGCCAGTCAAACCGGTGCACGATTTAGATCAACCTTGGCTCCATGGACCATCCCCAATGGCACTCACCAGACCGTGCCGAGGCAACATAGGCAACTTGGCCTGAATTGCTTCATCAAGTTTGAATTCAATGTCTGAGCGGGGAAACGCAAAAGCACATCTGCAAGCTCCTTGAGCAAATGCTCGCGACGCTAGGTGGAACTCCTATTGAAATCAACCAGGTTCAAAGAAGTTCTGCCCTACTTCTTTATGTAATCCTCAATTCCTTCAGTTTTGAACATAACTATATATCTTATCTCTTTTCTAGCTGAAGCATTTCCCTCGCGATGACGCATTATCTAGACTTCTTCACGCGCGAAGCACGACAAAGATATCTGTAAAGGGTCGTGGCAATCACCCTGGTTGCAAAGCAATGAGAGTCATGTCCAGCAGGGTAGACAGGCTCTTGTTTCCAGAAAGCCTAGCCGCCTGCACAGGATACAAACAATCCTGCTTGACCAGTGATTCTACACAAAATTCACCACTGTCTAGCACATGCCAAGCGAATTTGGGCTGGATCAACCCAGAACTCTCCTAAGATTTCCTAAGCTAAGGCTAAGACTATAGAGTCATGACTGCAAAAATTGATGGGCCTTCGCGAGACAACCTTACAGTAAGCCTTACCATACCGTCCGGAATCGCTCGGGACCTTCAACGCTAAAGGTGCATTCCTGGAGCATCTTCGTCGCTTCGGGCTAAATGAGCAACCTCTGGACAAACCATCCCTCTTTGTGTCATACGGTTTCTGCAATGGAAATGTCAGGAGCCAGGGGTTGCAACAATTGCACCTGGTCACCAAGCTGAAGATTGAAAAAAATCGAAGATGCTCCAATGCAAAAGTCATGAATCACGAACAAGTTCTGCTACCTGGCACTAAAGCTTTGGCTCATTTGGGCTCACAAGCTGTCGGAGAAAATGGTACTGTTCGCCTTAACACGGTGTACCATGCCGGTCCGGTTGCAGCATCAAACCAAAACAAATACTCAGCGACAGCCTCTGTTCTTACCATTCCCCCGAGAGAGTTTCGTCTTTCACGCCTTGCAGAATCTGAGGAATCGAAAGACCCTCCGGTAAAACGAGTTTCGATTTTTGCTGGTGGCACTGTTCAGTTCCGATCCGCCCTGGACAAATGACATCGCCATTGCCGAGCCGATTCCCTGTGACCTGTGACCTCTACGTTACAACAGAAACAAAAGAAAACGTCATGGTCCAAACAATGACTGCTGGGTCAAACCTCATGGTACGGGCGACTTCGTTCCACTCTCTGAGCTGCGCCAAGGTACCATGTAGACCGCTGCCAGCAGCTGCTCGCGGGTTCGCATACGACTGGACGTGCGCCGGCGACCTTGCAGCAGGGCCTCTGAGGCCGACTCACACAAAAACATGAACCCAACCCAGCCAAAGGGGCCTTTGGGTATATATAGATGTCAATTTATGTTAACTGTATACTGTAATTTTCTGTAATTATTTACTGATTATCTGTCTTTTGTCGTCTGTAGTTCTATGTACAGTGCACGTCATTGTCATGGACTTTCCTGCATAAATGCATGCTGCATGGTAGTTGCAGCCAACTTCCTCCAAAAAGGATGGCCTTTGCATTGCTGAAGTGCGCCACCGTCAGAATTAGCGAGTTAGAGAGATCTTCCATAAGGTTAAACATTGGAATGAGCTGGTTTCCCATCACTTATTCTCTATCTTTCGAGATTCAGTGCATCACACCCTTTGACGCAAAGCGTTCCTGCAAGCTAGGCGTAGTCTTTGGTGAAGACGAACGCCTCAGAAGCAACGAAGATGGGGAAGATGGGGTCAGGTGCCACTTTGGTTTCAGGCTGAACGGCCAAAACACTGCCAAGCCGGTTGGTCAACATGTGGGAGCCCATGGCTCCACTAAAACGCCCAACATCACCCAACCAAAGGAGGCTAGAATTGGGTAGAACTTTCTTTCCTGACCAGAAACGTCACGTCGGACTGTTCTCCAAGTCTTTGAGACACCTCGTGACGTCACTCCCGGCTGTTGGTCACTCACGGACGTTTCGACGAATGCCACAACTCACTCGGTCAACCAAGTTGCGAAGACTCCGTCGGAAGACCCTCACGAACCACTTCTACAAGCCTCTTCCTCCTGGAACAAGGTCGAAAGAACACGACTGTCGGTCAATCATTATCAGCTAGCAGCTAGATGCAGCTAGCAGTCAACGAGATCTAAAACCGAATGCCCTTCTACTCATCCAAGTGGGGTCATATTCTGAATATGCTCAGCTGAGCTACTCAGTTGGTCAATCTGTTTCATGCTTGGACACCGTAACTGTCACCCAACGGGTCCTGAATGCCTCCACAGATTTAGGCTTGGTTCCCTTTGCCAGAGATGGTGGCCGAGGCCTCTTGCCTTCAATTTTGCCATCAATCTGCTCCATTTGTGCCAGATCTCGTATGTTTTGATCCAAAAACTGGCGGAAGAAGGCTTACGCAAACTCCAAACAGCTTCCACTTTCTCCAAATTGTCTCTTGCAGCATTTTCGACGATGGAATGGTCACAAACCACGTTTGTCAATTGTAAGTTCCTTCGACATGCGGTGCACACGACGTTCCAACACCCATCATACCACACATATCCCCAGATCACCATCAGCAATCCCTGCTAAGCCCTCCCAAGCTGTCAAAACATGTCAAAACTGGACTACCTACCTTCTCCACCCACCAAGCAGCGCTTCACCCGCCTCAAGATCTCCACTTCTCCAGACCTCATAAGACCCAACCGGAGAAGGTGTTTGGAGCGTTTTGCCCAGTCTCGAGTTCCAGACACACCAAGTGGCAAAGACTGACACCTCACAGTGAGCCGCCAAAGGTAGAAATTGGAGTTTGGAATGGAGAACTCATGGAGAACTCGAGAACGTCTCCATGTTTTTGCGGTTTGAAGTCACTCCATGGAGCAAGGTCATGAGTTCAAACATGTTCAAAATGACCATTCAACCATGCAGAAAACAACATGTTCCAAAAATCACACCGTGCCAGCCAATGCAACACTAATTATGCCAAGCCCCATTCAGACATATTCAGACTAGGGACGTATACCAGGCCATGTTCACGCATACGGCCTTTCCAGGCAGAGGCAAAACCACAGCCCCGCGGAATCACCCGCCATTGACACCAGTATCACCAGTTTCCAAACACGATGCATGTCTGGCAAGACATATATATATATAATTTCGGAAAAAAATAGTCAATGTCTTTGAAATCTGGCAAACAAATGTCGATGATGCGTAAAATTGTAGTTCCTGGCTGCATCAAGAAACTCGATAGCTGTGGGCAATCGTGCATCGGCTGTTCCCCTAGGGCAGTGGCATCTTCTCTTCATTGTGGCCCGAAGAGTCCGAGCTCTGAACCATACAGCCACATGTGGGCCACATGCATCACAGCGAAACACACGTTCACAGCCACCGGTCACCGGGGTTCACGGAGGAATTTGGGAAAAGTGTTTCGACACTTCACAGCTGACCGTGGCAGTGTTTCGTCGTTTCGATCGTTTCGGTGTGTTTCGTGAAGGTCTTGGACTTCCAAAAGGAAATATGGCGGGTCTCCAACGCTCGTGGGGCGCACCCGCTGGCGGGAAACAGGACGTGTGGCCATCTCTGCCTGCCATTGGTATCCATTGGTTCTGAATTGGCACGGAGGAATGTGGATTGGCACGGTAAAGGAATGTTAACATGTTTCATAAGCACAGGAGGACGGTCTTTTTGTTTCCACACGACATGACGAACCGCTGAAAATATCAGGAGCCACTGTGCCTCCTTCGTGGCATTGATTTTGGCAGACTTTCTTGTACGACGGGCAGCAGCACGTGCCCGTAAGCCCTGCAGGGTGCAGGAAGTCATCATTATCATCAAACTTCAAGTGCTCTGAGTGTCAAGCCAAAAAGGACTGGTGCGACGCTGGAAAGAACTATTTTCTTGCAGAACATTTCTTGCAGATTCTAAGGCCGGCCTCCGTAACAAGATATCAATATGGTCATTGGGGGTGAACGCAAGATCCCTGGTGAGCTCCCCACCTCTTTTCCTATCACATCCACCCCCGCTCCTCCTCATGAACTCCCACCCCATATGGGGTGCCCTTTTGTGTCTCGTCAACAGGCCTCTTAGAACCATTAAAAAGGGACACCCCCAAGCAACTCAAAGCTTGCTCGCTGCATTCTGTTCCCTGTCCTGTCCTCCAGGGGTCACATCGTTTCTTGCAGTCCCTCTTTTCCTATCACGTCCTCCTCCGCTATGCCTGTCTTGGTGCCCTTTTGCGTCTGGCTTCTAGGCCTCTTCACCATTAGAAAAGGGGGGCCCTGGGAGCAACTCAAAGTTTGCCCACTGCACTCTGTTCCCTCTCCTGTCCTCAACGGGTCACATCGTTTCTTGCAATCCCTCTTTTCCTATCACGTCCTCCTCCGCTATGCCTGTCTTCCACATGAACTCCCGCCTCATATGGGGTGCCCTTGCACGCCTGGCTACTAGGCCTCTTCACCCACAAAAAAGGACACCCCCAAGCAACTCAAGCCTTGCCCACTACGTTCTGTTCCCTCTCCTGCCCTCAACGGATCACATACGCGTCCCGTTGTCCCCCCCTTTCCTGTCCTCGACATGAACTCTCCCTGGTAGAAGACCTGAGCCCCTCATGGTGCTAATGATGCACTCTTCGGCGTCAATTACATCACTTGCAAAAACTATACATGTTCACTCCCTTTCGGACACGTTCTTTTTTTCGCTCTCCCCCACCAGGCTCTGGGTTCGCTACCAGATTGGACCCCCCTAATACTCACTCCAGCCTAGCCTATCGGCTGGCTTTCGTAATGACTACCAAGACTACTATTCAAAGATGTAACACCTTGCTAACTCTACAAGCAGGTACCATCATCCACGGATTATAGTGTGCATCATCGGAGCATACTGGAGCTATGACATGCTAATCTAAACCAATTGCCCTCTCCTGCTCCTCCAGCTCCGCCTGTGATAGCGTAGCCTCTCAGGGATCGAAAGATCTCCCAGATCCACTTTGCAAAGGGTCAAATGACCACGCCAAATTTACAAGAAATGTTCGAAACACGTCTTGGGATGACAACCTCCCTCTCACATGTACTGTCTTTTTCGTTCCTCATGTTGGCGTCTCCCTGAAAACGGGGTCTACACGTCCGTCATGACGCCGGTGACGCCACGCCTTTGCAGAACTGGAAAGTCGCTCCCGCCACGTGACCAAGAAGGCATCCCGAGCAGCGGCGTCGGTGACGTCGCTGACCGCTGCAGCGGCTTCTTTGGCAGCGCCACTCATCCGCTCCAGGTGGCTCACAGTTTCTTGGTCCTCAAAGCCAAAACCGAATGGTGAATGGCCATGCCCTGAATAACTCAATTTGGGGCGATGCCAGCGAGTTGCGATTTAAAGACAGAAGGTTGGGTTTGCAGGAATCCAGCACACGAAACTTGAGGGACACATCCAGTAGCACGGCACCGAAATCAAACACTATACCTAAGATTTACTCGGGTGCTGATTGAATATATATATATATAGTTTCGACTGTGTATCGAGGGGCGAGGCACCTCATGGCAACGATAAAGTGCAATCCTTAAATGTGCTGGGTCCTTAAGGACCTTTTAAAGTCACGAAAGGCACATGCAGTACTCACAATAAGATGACAAATTTGCATTGAGTGTTCCCATGTCGTGTAGCCGCATGCATCGAACACAAGGAGCATTGTATCGCTTCCAGATTATCCCGGACTTTGGGACAAGCCATTCACGAGCAAAAAAAGGTGCTGCCAAAAACGGAGCAACTACTGAAAGCACTACGTAGGGTTGGCAAACAACCCAGGAATGCAGCTGGTCCTTTGATCGCTCTTGTGGCAGTTGGGATCGCCACCTGTGTGCAGCGGCCGATTTGGTTTTGGCTCTGCGGAATCGCTGCACAAAGAGGACTGACCATTGGACCATGATCTCACGAAGCCTCAACCTAATTTGCCTCTAACATAGAAGCGATGGCCTCCAACCTAGAAGCCCCAGTAAGCTATGTGGTTGCATTCAAGCCGTCCGGTCACAAATTTCGTGCCTCTCAACCACGGACAGCACAGACTTCTCCAGCTCAGCTGTCTCTTCTGACTGGAAGACTGCCTTGACACAGGTGAAACTTTGGAGAACTTTGGTGAAGGACAATTTGGATAAGCCAAGGTAACCTTAAAACCGGATTGGAATGCGACGTTTGCAGGCCTGAAGTATCATGATATCTGTCAAGTATTTGAAACACCTAAACCATCTTGACATCATCTTACTATCTGATATCCTCAGTCATCAGTCATCAGTCATCCTCTGGTCGCTGGTGCGAATTCCGCCTCTAGTTGGGACAGGAGATCTCCACCCATGCGGTTGACCTTAAGCACAAGAAGCAGAGACACAAAGTCAGGCCACAGTCAAGCATCACTTTCTGACTCCATTTTCTCCTATCATTTTGGTTTTGGTGAATAAGAAAATGTCAGGAGCTTTGTCAAAATGTGCGACGCTTCGTCTTCAATGCAGCCTTGTGGCTAAGTCAATCCGTTCGTCAGACAATGCAAGTACCGCTGCAAGTTCCTCCTGAGGGTTGGCAGAACCGACAAACAGCTCAGCGAGAGCATTCCAATCGGGTGGCTAGAAGCTCCCAAGTGAAGATCTATTAATATGCTAATGCTGCATACCTCTATACTCTTTGGATCTATTTGGATCTCTTTCCAGCACCTCCACACTCAGCCTACTGAGCTCCTTTGGAGGTTCACGCGGCGGCATGTCGTGGGAGGAGCTCTCACATGGAGCTTCGAGGTGCTCCTGAACAAGCGGGGGTTCCTTCTGGGCTACATCATTTACATGTCGTCTTATTCTTTACACCTTTAGCCTTTAGACCGTGCTATTCTTCCAAATTTGTCTTTCGTTTCGGCTACATTGCGTTTATCCCGAACTATCCCAGCATGTTTGTCCCATCTCCATCTGATGGTGTTTCATCTGAACAACCTGGCATGTTGACGTGCCTCCTTCGCCTCGTCAAAAGCATCCTCTCGCAAGTCATGCAACTGCTGGCGCAATGCCTGTGTCTGGCTTGCGCAAAAGCAAACTTTTACTGCACACGGGTCATTTCAAGCCAAACAACTGTTGCTCCTTCCGTTTCTATCTGCACTATTTGTTTTTCCTGTCTGCTCAATGCCATGCATGTACATTCCCACGCGTCCATGTCTTCCCTCTCACCCTCATGATCTAAGGAGAGAAATCCCACATCCGAGAAACTTCGTTGCAACTTCTTCGCTTCCAACTTTGTGAGCTCGCTTCGTGTTCGCTTCGGTTTAGCCGTACCTGCACATCACCGAGGTTGCCCTCCGCAATGCATTCCTTGGAACGGTGAGTAGATGTGAAGATGATGTGAAGGTGTGTCCGCATTGAAGTGATATCTGCAACATGTTTTCTTTATATTCACGGTTAGAAAAAAAGGCATGATATCAAACTGAATGAATGGACTGCACCCTTTGAACTGCTGTAACTCTTGGTGACCAACTTTCCGCGGTGCCTTTCTTTTCAACTCAACTGTTCCCTCTGAAAGCTTCACAGCCGAGCTGGTCAGGCGTTGCTAACCAGCCTCGGCACTCATGACACCCTCTCGAAAGTCCGGCGCACCTGCAAGTTGTGGAAGATGAAGACATAAAGCTTGCTAGACATAACCGATGAAACTGAGGCACGGTTGCTTCTTGAACCACTCCTCCAACACACTGGAGGTGTTCAGGGGTGGCTTGTAAAGCCTTGGTTGCAGTTCGTGCCCAACTAGAGGCTTTAAATGTTGCCGAATTGGATCCAGGTCGAAGTCGCAGAAGATCAGGTCATAGGCCCTCGATGGGCTCGGAACGCCCGAGCTGGCATAGGACGGAACCGTCGCCGTGACACGATCGCTGGGGTGCCGTGCGGGCGCGTCGCGGTGCCGTCGCGTGTGGTGATTGAGCTCTTCCAGAAGCCGGGCGAGATGTTCACCCGAGATCTCTTCAAGGATCAACCACACATTCCCATATGGCGAGGCCTTGTAAGCATCATCCACTGTAAAAGTTCCTGGATAAATATCATAGGTCAAAGCACCGGTCCCCACTATGGCGAATTGCTTGGGTGAATCGAAGAGGGTGTCTGGGATCACTTTTTGCATGTAGAAGGACCACCTGGCAGACCGGCCCAGTGGTTTCGAGGACGCGAAAGCCACAACTGGAGAGGCCAACGAGACCTTTCCTTTTGAAACTGAAGAATTCGAGGGTATATAGTCGGATGTCGTCAGTTCACTTAATTCGATGGCTGATTACTCTCAAATTCTACCAAGAAATACATGGAAAGGGATCAAAAGGGACCAATTCTACAGAGAATTCTACAGATGTCTCGAGATATTCCAAGCCACAAAGAGTCCTTTGTTTGCAAAGGAGTGGACAGGCGATAATGTTCAAATGAGCACCCCAAGATGTGCTCCTTAGGCGAATCCACGTGCGCCATCTGCATTGGTTCCAATGCTGCCACATCCATTTATGTTATTCAATACTTCCACAACTGACATTGAGTAGGCTATTTATGGCTATTCAATGTTATCTAGGTTACAGTTCTTATCTGCAAAGTTCAAGAGAAGTCTCAGTCTTGGCAGCGGCCTTGGCGACATCCAAGGCAGCTTGGACGGTTGGCGCTGGAGCTAGTGACGGCATGTGCAGAGCACCTGTGATCACCGTAGCCCTTCAATGATGGTTTTCACAGCAAATCATCTTGTGAAGGGCTTGCAAGTCTGCAAGTCATGAAAATCAAATGGTATTTATAGTGACAGTAGTTTGTGCATGGGTTGATGGACATAACATTTGAAAGCTGACTTCCAAGACTATTCTTCGACGGCCTGCCATGACCTTCACATTCCCAGTGATGTTCGCATGTTCAAAGTCCAAGCCATTGCCATCGGCACTTTTCTTGAAGGACACAAATCCCACCTTGGAAGGTCAAATGGGTCTGCAACCTTCATCATCTACCTCATCGCATGATTACTGTATATATTCCCACACCATCGCACCATCTTCATCTAGATTGAGCCCCAACTTTGTTGGCAAAAAGCAAAAGAAAAGGTCGTCTCAAAAGGTTCTCTCTTGCGTTCGTACAGAAGATGATTGTGTTTTCGTTTATACAAAAGGTCTCGGCGTGTTCGGCTTGTTTGTACATCTAACTGTATCGAGCTGAGTTCTACTGAGTAACTGTGTCGAGCTTGCAACCCGCTTCGTACACCGACGAATAGTTATCCAGCTGCCTCAGGGCTGTCAGGGGAGTGCTCCGCTGATTTCCGTGAATTCTGGTCGCGTGAAAAAAATAGGAGTCCAAATAAATGAACTAGTCCAATGGAGAACCCATTCAGATTCATATCCAATCTATGTTTTTTCAATGCATGACTCTTGTAATCAAATGCTGTGCCGGCCATGCCTGTAACCTCTGATGTGTGAATGCCCTGCCAGGATTTGGATTGGCGTTTGAGGCCCTACTCGTTGTCGGATGGCGCTGTGGAGCACTTCCACCAGGTCATCTCGATAGTCCATGTGGGCTAAGACTACGACGGCATCGTGAGGTTCATCTAAGGCAGCTTGAAACCAACTGGAATTCACCACATCTTCAACTTTCTGTACCTCAACAGCATCACAATGATCCTCCATATTGTACAAGAACCCGAAGACTAAGACGCGTCGGCCGAACTCCCCAGAGATCACGGCATAGCGATCGCCCACCGGCTTCAAGTTGGTGGACCAAACCACATTGGAAGTCAAATATCCTGAGAAGTCTTGCTAGAAATCACATGTTGGCTAGGTATGTCATGGTCTCAAGAGAGACTCACTCATGTAGACTGTAGAATGTGACGAAATCTACAGGCTCCCTGTTGTTATCCCTGTGTTTAAACACATTCCCGTGGTGCATGTACTTCAAAAGCTCGGCAAGAATGACCATGTAGCTACGCAGCTACGCACAAGCTATGTCATGTAGCTACGCACGAGCTCACTGAAGCTGAAAGCCAAGACTCGACCTTCCCATGAATCAATGTACCCCGACTCCTTCAGCCCTACAATGGGACAGGCGGGCCCAGGAAGAAGTCCATAGCCATTCCGCTGATACAACTCGTGGTTCCCGATGTTCAAGGCATCATAGGGGACCTTTTGCAAAATAGGAGCGAGGAAGGTCACATGATCTGGTGCTGAGGCTGAAAGACCTGTCCCATCATTGATATCTCCATTGTCGAAGAAGAATACATCACGCCGATCTTTGCGAGCCATTTCCCGCAAATGGTTTAGTGCAGAGGTGACGTGGCCCAAAGTGGCATCGAAATGAGGCTCATGTCTTCTTCCTTCAATCCAGGAATGTAAATCGGTGGTCACCAAGAGGTTGATTTCTCCCAAGGAAATCTCAGGCTCTTCAGGACATACTGAAGCAAAGTCACTACAGCAGTCATTGAAACTCCAACAAGATTCCACACACCAGCAAGTCTCATCATGCCCGCCACAGCCAATCTGCTTGCAGCTGCCTGTCCCTTCGCAGCATCTCAAGCAGATTGACAGGAGCACCGTCCACAGCCAAACCCAAGTCATACGTCAACAGCAAAGCTCAAACAGTGGCTGTGTGCTTGAGCCCGGAAAGTCACACATCAAGATACACTGAGAAACCCCTCAGCTACCCGACTGTTCCGTGCGCAGTAACTATTTGTCTGGCTGCGCGACTCATCAACACTGACCGAGGAAAATCCGTTTTGGAGCAACCTTGTTTTTGGGTCGAGTTTCATGGGCCTTGAGCAGCAGATCTCGTGAATTCTCTTCCGTCTCTCGTGCAGCTGCCTCTGCGTACGCAGGAGGTTCCTGTGAACAGCAAGTCGGGTGACTCATTTATGTATCTTATGTCTTGCTTGGGTTGGTCGAACTCAAAAGAGATCCACTAGGAAACAGTCTGTCTGTTGAAAGCTCCACGTATGTTGGCTTTCAAGGGCTCGGAGACTCTATCAGCGATCGTCGCGTTGATTGCACTCCTGCAGCTGCCTTCGGTGGCGTCTAGTCAGTAGTAGCCGCTGACGCTCCTCCTCATCCTCCCTCATTGCTTTAAGACGCGTCTGCCATGTCAGGTCAAAGCGGAAGAAGCCCCTTCTGCCAGCTAGGTTGGAGGCCATCGCTCTTAGGTTGGAGGCCATCACTAGTAGGTTGGAGGCCATCGCTATTAGTTTTGGTAAGAATCAGCATGAATTCACTGTTGGAAAGCGATTAACACGTGCCGATTCGAACCATCCCAAATATTTCAATGGGACTGTGGGATCAGCAATCTTTGAAATAACACAAGGCCTTATACAAGATCATCGATATCAAACATCTGGATACATTTGGATCGAATCAGCTAAGTGAATGTGGTCTGTTCCATCTCCAATCTCCTATGCGTACGGAGTTTTACCGCTCTCTCTCTCTCTCTCTCTCCCCCCCTCTTCCTCTCTCCCTTCGCCTGCATCTCTTGACATTTTTGCTTCGCTTCAGCGGTGTCCTCCTTCACATCCCTCGCGACGGTGAAGCGCTTCCTTGGTTTCCAAGATGTCAACCACTTCTCGATATTTCTCAACTTTTGCTAACCTCACCAGCTTCATGAATCTTACTGAAAAGCCCTCACAGCATTTAGGCTTCGTGGATGATTACCTGGATTCTCTGGTTTGCTCCACCGAGAAACAACCGCGATGGACTTTCCTCAGCCTCTTCGACCTCGAAGGCAGCCTGCGCGGCCTGCGCCTGAAAGTGGGGTCCGGATTGATGCTCTTCTCAAGTCTTCTCAACAGGATCCGGCTCTAAAAGGAATGGCCTCCAACCTGATAGTGATGGCCTCCAATCTAAGAGCGATGGGACTCCACCCTAGGAGCGATGGCCTCCAACCTTTAAGTAAAAACTAACATGTCAGACCTGAAGACCTCTTGCAGAATCAACCCGGCACCTGCCTCCTCCTCGGAGCCTAGTTGATCAAACTGTTCTGACATCTTGCTAGCAGCAACCTGCCAGGCTGCCAGGCTGACGACAAGATGAGAAACGTTTCTGAAGTCATCAGGCCACATTAGCCATCATTAGCCCACTCTATCAGTGTAACTGCTTTCCAGAAGTGTTCAGAAGTCCTTGGCAAACCAGAAGGAAACAAAAGCTATCCTTCAATATTGAGCACTGCTTCCAGCACTTCGGCCTGGAGTTCCTCTAGACCCACCATCTGTCGCCAGAACTCAATCTCCTCGATCGCATCGCGGTCACTCTCCATCACCTGGAAGGGGTGCAGCTTCGGTGGTTCTTCTCCCCGTTTTCGAAACCAGCTCCCACGGTTCTTCCACTCCGCTCTCGCCTCCTTGATGTTGCTCTGCTGCTTGTCAAGTCCTAACATCCGCAAAATTGCACAAGATTGACCTCTACGCAGTTTTACGGCATTGAGATGTACCCTGGACCCTATCTCTGAATATCGCGGCCATAGCCCCCGTGCTCGCTCCTTCTACAATGAATGCAAGCAACTCTTTCACTATAGCTGCATGTTGCCTTTTGCATCCTTTTGCGTACGTTCTGTTGTTCAAGCGCAAACCCAGCCCGTTTGCAGCCGCTCTGACCAAAGAATGTCCTTCAGTGTGCTCTCTGGCGATGGACTCAAACTCGGTTCCTCCCTCCACGAGCTTCTGCAATTCTTCCCGCCTTGCCTGCACAGACCAACATAGCCGTCACATAAGCATCCAAAGTCTCAAATCCTAACATGGCTTTTGTGGGAACTGCAACTTCACGCAATCTTTATCTTTAAGCTGCACACCCCATCTTGATTCCTTCTCATGTGCAATACCTCCAATACACCTCCAAGATTTGTATATTACTTGCAATGTGTCAATGTGTATGGCCTGTTCAGCTGGCTTCCGGCGGCGACGTCCCAGAAGCAAACGCTGGCGCTCGCTCTCCTCTTCCATTCCATGTAGCCCTAAGCGACCGATAGCGACCGCATGTTGCATCACTCAGTCAGAGCTGGATCTGGACAAGAGCGAATAAAACCATAAGAATTGGCATGAACCAATAATTTTGAGGATCATGTTTCAGTGCACCTCACTAATTACAGTAATCAGTCATCCTTGGAATCCTGCACCTCTGAAGTCTGGAATTGAAACAGCAACCAACATTGCCATCTAGAACTGTACTCTGATGCCTCTTTTTCGCAGCGTGCATCCATTGCTTCGCTTCGCTTCGCTCCTTTGCAACTCAGGAACGGCGACGTGCTTCTGCAACTGCGTCGCTGGTGTCGACAGATTCCATTCGATGTTTCAGCTGCTTGCTGGGCACCTTCGCTGCTGGCTGATCGACGCGGTGTCGGCGTGGGATCGACACTGCAATGAGGCCAAACATGAGGCCAAAAGCTCTTGAAAGAACCGGCTGCACGACCAGCAAAATGGGACCTTCAGGACCTCAACTTGAGATCCTAACTCCGAGGCGAGAAGAACCCGACTGACGTACACTAGTGAATTCTATTGACGTACACTATCCGATGACCCTGGGGCGATTTCCATGTTGCTAGAGGAAGGAACCTGAACCAAAGCAGTCCACTACGAGTGTCAATTCAATTCATTTGCAAGGCAGCGCTTGCTGGTAGCGGCCTTGACTTCCAGACTTCTCTCCACCTCCGACTCCTCTTGCCTTGCCTGTCAATGCTCCACGGCCTACATCCACTCATCGCAAGCTTCACATCCTCGCCTGATAATAGAAGTAGAATGAAGATGAATGAAGTAGAAGTATACTTATATAACTTATACCCGGGAGTGCCATGGACCGGATGGCTTTCCCTTTGACTTCTTGCAAACTTCTGGTCTCTCCTATGCTCAGCTTCTTCACTTGCACGCTGCTGACCGAGATTCGCTGAAGTCATACTTGGTGTGTCTGGCTATAGCGGCTATAGAAGTGCAGGACCACCAGAAAATCTTTGTTCCCCGCTTGGACATACTTAGGACATCTTAGGACTTCTTCTGAATGCGCCTCTCTGTCCATTACCAAATCCGATTCCCTCCAATTCCCAAATCCACCCGATGCGCCGAGCACTGCCGTCCGTGGCCTGGTCTCCATCTCTGGCCTTTGGGCGTCGACGTCCAAGGCCCAGGCGTTGGCGCTCGCTGTCATCTTCCATGACCTTCAGACCTAGAGATCTTTGGGCAAAGGAAGACCTTTACGTGCTCTTTTGTCAAACAAATGTCAAATACAAACACATTTGACAAATTGATCGCAGTTGCTTGCAGTTGAGGAAACTCGGATTCACTTCCTGACACCTGCAACCAAGAAGCGCCGACGTGCTTCTACCAAAGCTGCGGTTGGGTCAACTGTTCCGTACTCCTTCCCCGGATGCTTCTTTGCAGCCTGCACAGGCACAAAAAGCACAAAAAAGCACTCTGATGAAGGCTTCTGCCAACGTTGGTCGCCCGGTGGAGCATTAATCCTATCTTTGGAAATCCTTTGGCTAATATCAAAGGTACGTGCAAGTTGTCAGGATTCGGCAAATAGTTCTTCAGTTGCCACTGTGACTGTGACATGTTGTGTTCCAAATTCATGTTAAATGAATGCTGTCTGGTGTTGACAGGTCGTTGCCAATATTCAATTTGAAATGCACTGCACCCTGGGTTTGCGAGGCCGAAGGCTTCTGTTGTGGATGCTGTCGCAACCTGGATTTCAGAACCACTTTCTAGGTATGATGGCTGGGCGCTAACTGTTCATTATGCATGTTTATGATGTACTGCAAGTGTTCGTACATGTTCCTGCACCTGCCGCAAGCAAAAAGTACTGTACTTGTCATGATCTCTTATGAAGGAAGGTCTCCTCCTGTAAACAATGAGGTTCCTGTACTCGCGGTCGCTTCACTATGCCCCACCATGCTCCACCCTCATCCCAGTGCCCGCTCCAAGGGCTTCTTCTGACCTACAAAATACATCAAAATACTGCAAAACATCCTTACAGCGCAGTCAATGCAAAGGAAATCTGTCCGAATTTCCTCGCGCGAGTTTGCTCAGGTCAGGCTTGCGCCTGTTGTCAATGTGGGCTTTCACGGGTTGGAGCGACGAATGCACGCGTTAACGCGGTTTTGGAGCGACTTCCCGCGACGTAGGGGGATTTCTGATGACATCTTCTGGGCGGTTTATCGCAATTTCACTTCCCTCAGCCAAAGACGTTCCTGTGGCCAAAAAGAACATGTAGGAGATGACCCTCAGCGAGATTCGCAGCGGTGCGCATCAAATACTAGAGGCGCGCGATGTCGCACTATCTATGTGTCCAACCCTTGTGGTTTACGACTTGATTTTGGCCACCAAAATATGTTTCAATCTGTTCCTTCTATCATTGAAATCTTGAGAACATGCTACAATAGCTGCTAGCAATAATTTTCGGCCTCCAGCTGCTCCAGAACACCTACCACCTGTCTCCACGATTCAACCTCGTCTGTGGCATCTTGCTCACTTTCCACGGCCTGACACAGATTCCACATCTACACAAAGCGCAATAAACCATGGCATCAGCAAGATTTCAACATTCCAACTGC